TCATGTGTGGCTCAAACTTTTGGGCGTGAAACTGGAAAATCTTGAGAAGACTTCGAATTAATTTTTGCGGAGTCTTTTCATGCTTTTTAATATGATATAGGGTCGTTATTTAGTTTCTATAAAAGTTCCTCTCAATGGCCGATTGAAATGGTTCGTATTTTAGGTTGCACTCATAAATTTTGACAGCGTCTATAAGCATCTGAATATATTTCATTGGATGCATCATTTATAATGGCAGGACAGTTATTGTGGGCAACTCGCAAGCTACACGTACTTTTCGAAAATATATTTACATGCTTATAAGGAAAACATTTTCTACTACTGTATATATTTTATCTTCCTTCCTGGCCCTTTTTCGCAGATACGTGGGCATCTACAGACAGCGAAGTCTGCCATTCCGCAGCGCGTCATTTTCGCACGTGGACCGCGAGCCAGCGACACCTGGCGGCACCATGTCCCAGTCCATGTCCACGTCATCGTCCCCGTCACCAGCGAGTGCGGGCCAAAAGCTCCTCAGACTCTTCCACCTGAAACCCGGCTCCTATGCCCATTCCAAGGACGCAGCAGCTGGTGTCAAGCACCAGCATCAACATCAACAGCAAGAGCATCAAGCAGCGACTGCCAGCAATAAAATCCCGGCGCCGATCGGAGAGGAACCCGTTCAAATGGCGGGCAATTTTCAGCCACAGGTGCGGACGTCGACTCTGTCGCTGGACTCTGCTGTGGGCCCTTTGTTCCTCGGCACTGCGTGTGCTGCGGACCAGGATGCAGCTAGACTGAGTATTGGGAATGATGACGATGATGATGATGATGACTTGCTGATGCCCATCAGGCCGCCTCGGACGCGCAAGGAAGGCAGGGCGGCTCATCACCGCCACTTGCCGCCACTCATTCGGGTGAGGAATCCTCCGTTGTATACTGTACACATATACGAGTATATGCTCAACATGCTGGCATTTTAGGCGGTGGCTGCTGAGCACCAGCATGAACTTATTGAATTGGGCTCGTCGTTATTAAACGGCGCTGTCATTTTGTGTTTTGAAACCACACAAGTTGAAATATTTGAATGAGGCATTCTGTCTTATTCTTTATATCAACACTTGGTGCTTTGAAAATATTTTAATGAATAATCTCAGCATTTTATTAGTTCGGAGACGCATCTCGAGAATTCAGATTGATTTTTTTTTCTTGACATACAAGCTGTAATCGTCACTCGTCAGCATTCACAATGTACACAAGATTTTTATAATATCGAATTATGAGGGAATCTCAGTATAAAGGAAATTTGTCTGGACAGTACAATACTGTACAGTATGTTTAATCATAATTTATTATGATGTATCGTCAGCACTACATGTGCCCCAGTTATGAGTACATACAAATATTGGCATGCCTGGAAAGATCCATCATTAAAAAAATTAGGAGGTCCACCTTACTCCATATACTGTACCCGTATTTACTCGAGTATATAGCGCACTTTTTTTTTTAATTGAGGCGGAAAAATTAGGGTGCGTATGATACTCAAGGTAAACTTTTAAAGAAAAAATCCCCAAAGCCAGTGCCCGTCACATATGGAAGCACGGAAGTACAATACTGTACATCTGAGTAGAAAAAAAGGAAAAGGAAATTTGTGGCTTCAAGTCTCCTTGTCCATGGTTGAAGGAATAACAATTTCAGGAATAATGTACATCAGTTGGAGATGCAATGGGAAGTAAATGAGGAAGGGGAAAATATGTTGAAAAAAATGGTAGAATGGCATTTTTTTTCTCAATTGGTCTGAATCCGCAGCCATTTGGCAGAAGAAATAAATTTTTATTCTTGAGCCTGTGAACCAACCCCAAGTTGGGTTCCCAGGCTCAGCAAGTACATTTCTGAAGGAAAACCTCTTTCATTGAAATTGTCCTTCAGTCGAATTTAACAATTTTCCTGGTCTCTTAAATCTTTCTGATTTTCATCACTTGCGACCCATTTGCAACTCCAAGCCGATCTCCAAGCAGCTATTTTGTGTGTGTCTTCAAAGCAACTCAAATCTGTTGTCAAAATTTGAACTTTTTCTGTTCTGAATTTACCAAACTTGAAAACATATAAACTTCAAAGTAGGACGTATGCAAAGTCCTAGCCACAGCCCAACTCATCAACTGTGTTAATTTGTTCCTATAGCTTCCAAACATCTCTGATCAAAGCACTTTTGTGCCTAAAGTCTTAATTCATCATTCAAGCTTATTTTGTCTTTCAACTTTGTGAGACATATTTAATTTCTCACAAAATATCAATCTAATTGAGGAATCTGCCATAAATTGCAAGCTCATTTTAACTGCTCCTGCTGGCAATAAAAAAAAACAGAAACGACAAAATATCCATATGAAAAAAGGAATTCACACTAAAAATAAAAAACCCAATTATTCATTTGCTGCACACACAAAAAATAAAAATAAAACTGGGGTTCGAGTCTTACCCAGGGTTGCCAAGAATAGGTTTTTGCTGGGCAAATTTCTCACTAAAACAATTGGGGTAGTGCCTGCCTTTACTCGGGGGCGTGTGTTGCTCAAGTAAATACGGCATTGTGCAACAAAGCCATTCCTGGTAGAAAGAAAAGCTCGTTTTCCATCATAGTAACATATACTGTATAAGGCTGCAGCAACATGGAGCAGAAGTCGAGATGCGAAATGAGATTCATAAATGATCCAATTGATGGGAAGTAAATCGCGTGCAAAAGTCGGAAGTTGCTGGGGTGGGGGCGAGAAGCGGAAGGAAGGAAGGAAGGAAGTAGTCCTGCAGCAGCCGAGTGTCTGGAGACTGACTGACTGGCAGCAGTGTGCTGGTTTTCCTCTCTATGCCCCCTCTGTCGTTTTTCACATACCCTGCCAAGGTTCAGAGGAGACACCTGGCCAGCTGGGTCTTGTTCACTTTTCTGCGAGAATAAAGGGGGGGTTCGACTCAGAGGGGGGGTTCAACTGCTATCGCGGGGTATTCGGGTTCGCCTGGTCTTTTAGTCGAGGGCAGACCAACAGTGTGCTGTTGCTCATCGAGGCCTCGTCGTTGTCTGCCAAATTATAATCCCAGTCAGTGTTCTGCTCGCGTTTGGCAAGAGAAATTGAAAAGGACGGCATGATCGAGTCGAAAATTACAGAATTACTGGCCCACATAGTCTGTAAAGTCTGCCAATCTGCTTCTTCGTTGTTCGTTGCTGTTGTTGTTGTGTACAACGAAAATGACTCGTTTCGTGTCCTAACAAGCAAGCGAAAAAAAGTGAATCAAACCTGTGTGCCATGATTTGAAAATCCCTTCGCTGTTTTGGTCAACTGTGTAATTAATTGACACATGCTAAAATTTAAATGTTTTCACGCATGATATTGTTTTCTTCGAGGACCTTCATATTATGATTTATAACTTCCGCGGTTTCTGAAGATTTATCTTGAAAAATAATGCTTCATTGATTGCACTTCCCGCGAAATTTGTTTTCACAGTAATTTTGTCAAGCGACAATTCAAAAAAGGCCCAGCGGTGTAAAATGAAGCCAAATCAACCTGCAGTGTTCAGTGGTTTTGTTTAGAACATTCAATTTATATGCCGAATTTATGTTTTTAAAAAAAAGACATCGGACATGGAAGTGCACACATCCTGGAGAATAATATATAAGTGAAATTTAAATACCGCGACTATAACTTGAAATATGGAATATTGTCCTTGATTTGTCACATCCTCATTTGCTTTTCCATTTGATGGTTCAACAAGTTAAAACTATATTTATACCTTTTACGTCGATATACCCGATATTTTTTACTGGAATATCAGATAAAAGGCAATCAGATTTGTATGATTACTAATTACTGTATGAAAATGTGACGATATCCTAATTCGCGAGATCCTTTGCGAAGTATGAGAGAAAAGTGAGTTTTTTTGGTTCATATGTGCTCGGATCGAGTGTGCTGGGTCAAATGAGCGCGAAGGCCAACTGAGCACCAGGAACAACTGCGCGTCAGCTCAATCGGTCGAATCCTTTTTCTTGGTGATCTTCAAAAAGTTTTAAATTACCACTTTCAGAGATTAATAGTAATGCGAATACGGTTCAAACTTCTTATCCGCTGCAATTCTGGAAATCATTCCTTCGTCGAGAATTTTCACCAACAAAAAACTTTGTGAAACCTTTATTTTTTCTGCGGAGTGGAATAAAACTACTTTTAAATTATTTTCTGTCCCTTCTACGCAGAAGAAAAAAACTACCAGGAAATGTCTGGAAGCCTTTATAGTAAGTGAAATCATGCAACTGACATAACTCAACAGAAACCTCGTAAATCTTGAATGTTTCAATCAATTTTTGAACTAAGACGCTTCTACAG